GGAGAGAGGCTTAGGATCCCTGTGTGTTTCTGCGGCGAGAGCAATGTCTCCGTTAGGGGAGGCGTGCCTAGTTTCCAGGGACATCAGGAGCTGTACTAGGGGTAGACATTTGGGGTAGGAGTGGGGGAGGGTGTTTTTTGGAAAGGGGCAGAAGATGGGCCTGTCCCTGTTCTTTGGACAGCTTGTGAATGTAGATAGTTGGGCTTCTGCCCTCGGAACTTTTATCTCCTCATACCAGGCTCTTTGTGCAACAGAGCATCAGTTTAATGCAATTAGGAAAAGAACTGCGCAGAAGTAAGGACTGCAGGTGTAGAACATGTGGGCTTTGCGGCTACAGTTGCCCTTATTTATTAACTGTTGACCACGGCTCTGAGACAACTGATCAGATGCCCATCGCACGGTGGTCCGAGCCGTTCCGGGGTTTCAGCTGACCTTGATTGCTTAACTGTGGGGTCATTAGTTATTGGATGTCAGTGACACTCCAGCTGTAGCTTTTCCGGACTTCTCTCTCTGTAGGCGTGATGACCCTGCACCCGAGACCACAGCTCCTTCAGCATGCTTCATTTCGGCTCCAGAAGGAGTTCTTGGAGAGATACTGGGAGAGGTGGATTATTGTTGCTACCCCAAAGAAGACTGAATTTACATTTTTGAATTTTGTGCTCCTTTTCCTCGTCCCTCCTCTCTCCCCAGCATTGCACACCTCCCTGTCCAGCTGGAACAGAATGTTGATTTGCAGATTTTATACTCATTCATGCTTACAACACTTGATGTTGTTTGTGTTGACTGTTTTGAGATGACATTATTTTCTTGTACGAAATTAAAGTAAAAAAAAAAAGAAATTATGGAGGGAACTTTTTGAGGGTTTTGCCATAAAAAGGATGGAAAACGAGAAAAGCAAGGTTTCCCGGCTCCTGCAGAGAGCAGTTTGGGAAAGGAGCCTTTGGAGAGGTGGGGTGTGTCTTTGTGACACTAATGGGATAGGCATTTTTCTTTCCATTTTTAACTTGTTTTTCCTCCCATCACTTGCCCTGGAAAGGGTACCCGACGCTCTGCTGGGTCTGTTTGTGTGCTGCTTGTGCTCTTTTGTGAAGGGCTCAGGCTGCGTTTGTGGTGTGTGTGTGTGTGTGCTTCAAAAGGAGATGCTCTGCCAGCTGGTCTTCATCCAGGCTTCAACATGTGGATCTGACATCTGTCTGACCAAACAGACTGTAAAGCTGCAGTCAGACCCAGACATTTATTGGTACTTGGCACGGTTGGCTTGAATTCTTAAAAGGCACAATGTAGTGTTTTGTGCAACATGCGCACTGCGAATGCCAGTGTTAGCAGTACAGCTGCTTTTCAGTGTGAATCTGTGAGTTATTCCTGCGCGATATAAACTGAAGCTCGCGGAGAGCTGATAAGGCCCATCTCTCTGAAGAGTGTTGGTGGGGTTATTAATCTCTGTCTGGGGCAGCAGGGAAGGGTAGTGGGGTGGAAGGCTCTGGTTGTTCCAATAAATAGCTTTTCCCAAAGTGGGGGTCAGGACCCCTGGAGAGGGAGTTCCCCTGAGGGCTGGGAGAGGCCTGGGAAGACTCTGCTGTTCCGTTTCCTAAAGCTGCCCGTCACAGCTATTTTCAGATTTTGTTTTAGTGAAATATGTAGCTGGAAATGGTGGTTTCATTGTGAGGTTGGACAGTAGCTGAGCATTGGGGAAAAATGTAGGAATCTTTCCCCCACTTAAAAAAACAGAAGGTCTCGCCCTAGAAGATGCTCTGGGGGTAGTCTCCTGGTTTGGGAGATTTGCTCATGGAAAGTGTTATAGTATGATTTTACTAATATAACTGCTGTCATTAGATTTCTCTTAAACTCACAGGATTTCTCACCAAATGGACAATCAGGCTACTTCTGAGTGGTGTGCATGAGTTCCTCTCCATCACAGAAACAAGTGAAACAATCTGCAGATTCATAAATAGATTTTTTTTCTTAAGTCTTGTTTTGTATGTTTCCTAAAGCTTTGGTCCTGTCCTGCAGAGACACTTTCAGCTCTAAAAAACACTTTAAAAAACTTTCAGCAGTCACCACGTTCAATTCCCATGGACTTCTCTCGATGCTTATCCTTGTTCCGTTTCCTGTTCAACCTGCTACAGCAAAAGGAATTCCTTACACAGTGGAAGAGGTTCCATCGGAGCGTTTTAGACAGAGGAGCATGAGTTGACTCCATCCCCTCCACAGGGGTATTAATTGACTGTTCTCTTTCTCTCTCTCTCTGTGGCAGGTACAATGGATCCCTCCCCAATGGTGACAGGGGCCGCAGAAAGAGCCGGTTTGCCTTGTACAGGAGAGCCAAGGCCAACGGGGTCAAGCCCAGCACGGTGCACGTGCTCAACACACCCCAGGCTAGCAAGGTACGCAAGGTCTTCTGCAGGACGCGATCCGCTTCTCCATTGTGCAAATGAAATGCAAGGCAGATGGACCGGCTAGCACCAGGACAGCTGGCCTGGCTTTGGGGCATTTTAGAAAGAAAACGAGGCGATGGGTATCATCGGCTTCAGGCCATTCTTAACTCGGATTCTTTGTCTGGCTGAGAAACCAGATGTTAAGTTAACATATTAAGGAGAGGCTTCAGCACTGATGGGGTTAACCAGTTTTTTTTTTAACTGTGTTTTTCTCGTCTGCCCGTATTGTTTGCCTGCCAGAAGCGAGCTCCTTTAGAACAACCAAGTTGTGCTTACTGTTATTTTTTTCTAACTTTGTGGTAGCTAAGCAATCCTACAAACAAACAGCGCTCGTTTCTTTTCTGTGACGTGTTCTTGAGAAACAAGTTTTTCCCCGAACCCCGTTCCTCTTTTCTCGAGGTTCAGACCGCCTGCAGCTGGTGCGTGCTGGCTCTCTCGGCGTCCCATCTGCTCTGGCTACTGAAGCACAGTGACGGCACAGCCGCTCGGCTCTAGCCACCAGCCCCTCGCCTCCTCCCCCTGTTCTCGTGCCCTCCGAGGTTGGGAGGCGAGGACTGGCTGTAAACAGTGCCTCGCACACAGCTGGCTCCCGGGGCCGGCTGCTGGTTAAAGCTGTAGTCTGTAATTGTGTGCTGTGTTGTGAGTCGCGCCGTGCTGGGGGGGTGGGAGGGTAATTACAGGTAATCTAAGAAGAGTGTATGTCCTGACTCTCGCCTGGTCACCTGTTACTGCCCCGCCCACCTGATTTTATTAGTGTGCTCTCGGAGGACGAGGGGGCTGTGACATAATGCCACAGGCAAGTATCTCTTGGCTCAGAGAGGCGAGGAGGCGGGGAGGAACTTCCAGCCCCCACGATCTGTCACCCACAGAGAGTGTAGGCACAGCAGGGCCGCCTCATGGTATAATTAAGGAGACGCAGCGCATTGTTGCTGTTGACAGACCCCTGCTGAATGAGCCGTGTGCTCTCTGGGTTGTTGTCTAACCAGCCATTTGTCGTTGGCCTGTCATAACATATGCGATGGCGTGCATTTTGTTTGCGAAGAGGCAGGTGTTCACCACAAGCGTGGCGGCATCCCCTAGCACCCAAGTGCTTCGTAGGTGCACTGTCACATCAGAAGGGTATAATCATCTAAAGTGCGCTCGCAGGGTCTGAGGAGGGCAGGATGAAGGTTCGTTTTCTTATTATTTTCCTCTCGTGGCTTAAAAGGTCACGTGGCAGTAGGAATTTGCGCTGGGCAAATACATGAGAGTGAGAGAAGGAGGATCATGGTGTGTGTGGACCTGAGCTTGGGTTCACTATCGGAGTAGTGGGAGTGTAGTCCAGCCGTTTAGTGTCTGAACAACTGCTTCTTTCCTGAAAATACCAAACGGGACGGGGGCCAGGGGGTTTAGGAAATGTTTTTCTATGACAGTATCATGGGATCGTTTTACTAAATGGTGAAAACCTTCATGTCCGTAGCTTACAAATGGATAGATTCCCGTTTTTTAATTTATCTCCACGGAAATTCAGAAATGTAATTGATTTTAACCACTGTTGTGTAGTGTCGATGCCATTGGGCCCCGCGAGTCCTCTCCAGTCTCCCCTGAGGGAGGTGGTGTACAGACTCCTCTTCACTGTGGTCTCCTGGTCCCATTCCAGTTCGGCCTGTGAACAGGCTCCTCTGCAGCTCTTTTACAGCCAGTGCGCAAAGTAGTTTGGCTCCTTCTTTCTCATCCTCTTCTTTCCTACTCTTCCCTCACTCCTCCTTTCTTTCTCTCCTCCATCCTTCTGTTTTTCTCCCTTCTGGTCTCAGTGCTCTCTCGGCTCTCCCGGGGTCGCGACCTCCCCGTTGCCACGTGGTTGGAGACCGTTGGCTGTGTTGCTAGGCAGGTTTGGCAGTGTCGGTGATTCCTCAGGGAGGAGGGGGAGGTACAGCAATGTGACTTTACTGCTCCTCTTTTTAGGAGGAGGGGAGCACAAAGTGGTGCAGGGATGCTCACAGACCCGGTGATGCAAACTGGGTGTCTGTACTGGTGCTCAGTCTCCTCAGACAAATGATGTAATGCCGATCGCCTATCAATTCGATAGCAAGTCACGGCAAAATAGGTGTTGTAAGTCAAAACTGTTAGTGAATATGGTTATAATACTGTACACCAGTTGTTTTCCCATGGTTTGGGACACTTGATAAATTCCTGCAGATAAAGCCAAGTCAAAGCTATGCTCAACACAAACCTTACAACAACCGTTTCTAACTCTAACCCTCTTTTTTTGTTTTTTTTTTTATTCCATATAAGTAACATTTTATTCCATTACAACATTACAACCTGAAATGTATATTAATCAGTTTTGTTTCACTTACGGAATGTGCACACAGCAGAACTGGTATGAAATAAAGATGTTGAATTGTTATTATTAGAGGTTACTAATAGTGATTCTTATTCACCTTTGTATTGCAAAAGGGTATAATTCAGTTGTGACAGAGGACTTGAAAGCAGTACTGCAGTTTGACAGCTGATGCAGGGGAATTAAATTGAATTAACTCAGTTTTAAGGAACTCTTTTAAAGAACCTGCGCATATCTGACACTAAAGCTTTATAGTAGGGCTGGGTGGTGGCTCAGCGTAGTAAGAGGAATGGAATGTAGCAGCCAGAGTATTTCTTTCTTTATTTAACATTGTTTTTGGTGAATAACCTATTCTTCTACCACAGCAGCTGGCAGAGAAGAGAGAGTCACACATTCAGTGCATTCTGTTTCACCAAGTGCAGTTTTGCTTTTGTGTGGTTCTAATTTAAATTTGTATCTATTCGGTAATAGAGAGAAACTTTACATACTTTCCAACGCTTTCTCCTAATTAATACCACAATATCATTAATTAAGTCGGTAGAAAAACCTGTTATCATACTAGTCCAGAACAGAGATCTGTGGTTCTTGTACTGGTTCATGATCGCTTGTACTGTGATCATACATGTATGGCCATAAGATTCTTGGGAATAATAAGCATGAATTTAGAAAAAGTCTTATTTAAGAAGAAACAGTTCTTTAACCAAGCAAGAGCAATAATGGATACAGAGCATTAAATATATATATTTCATTTTCCTAAGGCTTTTATACAGATAAAGGATCAATACAGCACAATTACAGTGATGTGATTAGTTGAGTACCACAGGGTATTAAGACCGCTGCTCTTTCTAAGTTATATCAGCAATCTAGGTTGTGGCGTAGTAAAAAAGTTTGATGAGGAGAATTTATAAACACTTAAAAAGCTGCAAGGGAAATTCAGAAACAGACAAAATTCAAGACTGAGAAAACACCTACATGATATTTAACATAGACGTGTAGTGTTTTGTTCCAGTAATATTAATATTTTGTAGGAAGCACCCCGCTTGAAGAATGAACTAGGTGTTTGTGGACACCATTTACATTTTCTAAACAATGTAGGGAAGCAATAAAAAAGTGAACAATGTAAGTATATATAGTCAAGAGGTGTTAACAAGAATTTAGTGATGTGGTAGTCAGGCCTTGTTTAGAAGAGAGTATTGTGTTCAGTTTTTGTCACTATGTGACAAGATATTGCAGCTCAGGAATCAATTCTTGTGCTTAAAGGAAAGTGCTAAACTGACAGACTGAAGAACTTAAACGTTTTAGTATTGGTCCAGGGAAGACTATAAACTTAATTCAAGTGTTCAGTGTCCCCAAAGATGACAATCCAGTGGACCTCTTCGGAATCCACCTTGGAATGCAAACCACAAGATACAGTTGGACACTAGGAAGCCGTACATCTAAAACTGAGAAGAAAAGGTCATTCTTTACAAAAAGAGTTGCTGCCCCTCCATATTGTTAAACACGGTGGGATACCCCGACTTCTTCCACGAAATAGTAAGACCTAAGATGGAGTGCAGCACAAGGATGATATTTTTCTCCTGTAAATCCTTCCTGGTTAAAACTAGATTTTGGCACACCGCTGTAAAACTTGTTTCTTTATGCATTCCCTGTCTTTATGGGTGGGGGAAAAAGCTGTGCTGTTCAGTGAGTAATCATGGTCCCACCAAAGAGCTTTGTGATCCATGTGTTCACAGCAAGGGGACTGAGGGGAAGAGGAACAAAAAATATTTTTAAGAGCTTTCAAGTAGAATGCGCATGATGTACTTACAATAATTCCGTACATTTATATAGCGCTTTTCTGGACACTCCACTCAAAGCGCTTTACAGGTAATGGGGACTCCCCTCCACCACCACCAGTGTGCAGCCCCACCTGGATGATGCGACGGCAGCCATAGTGCGCCAGAACGCTCACCACACATCAGCTCTCAGTGGGGAGGAGAGCAGAGTAATGAAGCCAATTCATACTTGGTTATAATACAGGGGCTCCTGTAATGGCTTAACTGGTAAACACACCCATTCCAAGCAGTGGCTGGGGCTCCTGACCGTTGCCAGTTAGGTCCAGGATCGCGTCGCCGGCCGGCTCTGGTTAGGGTTCCCGAGGCTCAGCGCAGCTGTGGGCGGGTTCGGGATCAGCCGGCCAGTGCTCCGCGTTCCCAGTGGAAGGGAGACCCCTGGGGGCTCATGGCGGTGACAGTGAGGGATGCTTCTCTCCTCCAGTCACTGCTGAACCTCTCACGTGTTGTTGTGGATCTTCTGACGCATCCAGAGATGAATGGCCTCATATTTTCCATGTAGACTCTGTGGTTGCTCTCTAGGTCCCTGGTCCTGGAGAGCCTCGATCCTGTTATTCCTATAGGTCAACTGTTATTTAAAGATTAAGAGCAGTTGCTGTTCAAGCATCTTATCCTTTAAGCAAGTAATGTTCCAGCGAAGGAGGGAGCACTGGCACTTGTGGGCTGAAAGATATTCTCAATATTTGTGCCAGATGATCTCTAAATTATTTAATGTGCGCACCACCTGTTTAATTGATCGTCGTTGAACTGCCCCAGGCCAATACAAACTGACGATTAAAAGGCTGACTATTATAAAACCTGATGGACTGTGGTGTCCGGAGACCAGACCAGTTGGAGACTCCTACTGTAAAGACAGGCTTGGCGAGGCCGGGTCGGTGTGTAATGAATAATTGGGGAATGTAAATTATACGGATACGTTCTGATCTTTTGCGGTCTGGTGCTGATAATGTTTTTCAGGACGTTAGCTTTCTCGCTCAGTGTTAAATCAAGCCCCGCACACATTGGCTTCCTAGAGGATATGGTCTCTCTGCTATGTTTCAGATAATGAGTGGAAAAGACTCTTCCGTTTTTTTTTTCCGCTTGACGGCAGCAGTGGTGGGCCGGCTGATCGTGGCTCTCGGGCAGTGCAGAGTCTCATGCGTATTAATAAGGAGCCCCTGTGATCCCTCTGATGGGGGGCAGACAGTCTTTACTTCCCTCTCTAATCTCCTGCCTGATCCCAGCTAAAAGGCCTTTCCCATACCTTCAGGCACGCAGAGTTCCTCTTCCGAGCCCCAAAGGCAGACTTTCTAGTCTCCTTTTTCTCTGTCTCGGTTGCTCCTAACTCTCCTCTTATTTATTTGGATCCCTGCCTCTCCCCCTTGGTCTCGGTGCACAGGTGCACCCACCTCAGGCCACACGCGGCCCGCGAGAAGCCCTCATTCAAAACCGGAAACTCGAAGAGGCTTCTGCACCGGCGCAGGGCTTTGTGTTGCTGTCTTGACTGGACTGCTGTGCCTCGGCGTCGGTGAGGGTGAAGAGAGGATGCTGATTTGATAGTTTGAGGGCGGTCGCACTATCAGTGAAGCTCCAGGAGCAGGAGCTTGCTGATCCCTTTGAGATCAGGCAGCCCTCGGTGTTCATTCCATCCCAGGGGGGTTGGCTTTGTCTGCACATAACCATGGTCAGATAGAGAGAAGATCTGTGCATTATATAGTACAGTGACATCTCTATTGCCTAGTATACTGATCCCGTTATGTAACTACTATGAGCTTTGCAGCCTCCTCCATGTAGCCATCTGGTCTGCAAATTTGTTAGAACTGCCGGGGCTTAGGGCAGCCTGCCTCTTGCTCCTCTCTGACAAGTACGTGCTCACTCCCGCCCATCGCCTCTACACAAGCGGTCTCCGATTACGCTGATTATTTGTATGATTTGGTTCACTGGTCAACTACAATTACTGAATAATCAATCGGAAAGAAATTAATTAGAAAAGGGTTTGACTTCTGGCCTTTACACTGATTTATTAAGATGCTAAATGTATCTTTACTTTTCTGTGCTGAATGAGGCATAGAAAAGTTGCCCCTCTATGTCCTTTTACAGCAGTAGGGTTCAGCATAGATAAAGAGTCAAGGGGAGGAGGAGTCTTGATGGAGAGTGTAGAAGCTGAATTGTAGTTTTTACTAGCAGTGCGCTATAGTATGCGGACTGAAGTTTTCCGGTAGTGCTTTTGCTGTGCTCCTACCTACTATTTCTTTGTGGTGTGCTTTTGTACCCCGTATTATAAAATGTAATGATGATGTGTGGGTTAAATATTCATAGCTGGTGCTTTGGAAACCCGTAAGGCATTGGAGGGTAAAGGATGTTGCAATCTGTTGGTAACCTCCTGGCTTGTTGTAGTGCTCGGCAGATTGTTGTAGCGAGTGGCTGAAAGTACAGGCAAGGAGCCTCTAGACCCTGCCCTTCTGGCCACTGTGTTTCTGGCTGAACCCCGGCCCAGCACATGGAGAGAGACAGAGCTGTGCCCTGCAGGGTCTTCGGGCTGGCGAGTGGGCCTATTGATCATGGTCATATGGTCTGTTCCCTTACTTCTGAAGGCTTTGTCAGTGGCAAGAGAGTGTTGTCCCACTGTGCAGGGGGTGGTTAATTAACAACATGGAGTACCACAGCTGAGCCAACCCCCCCCAAACACAAACACACACAAAGGCAGGCACCCATTCCACCATCTGCCTCAAGCCTCCCTGTGTTAGGGACACACACCGCCCCCTGACCAAGTAGTGTCAAGTCTGGAAGAATAGAAATATTGTGCTTTTCACTCTGACGCTTCTCCTCATCGGGCTGTGGTTCTGGTAAATAAGCAGTCAAAGCTTCATGACGCGCGCTCTGCCAGTCCCTAGTGAAAGCACAGTGTAGCCGATCCGACCCACTTTAACACACATTATTATTTCCTGCCGGTAAGTGGAAAAATTAGCACTGCTCATGCCAACTGCCTCTCGCAAACACAGATGTCAGTCCCTGTTGGAAAGTCAAAGGTAAATAGCACTTTAATTATGATACATATTGTGAAATGGTTAACACAGTGCAGTACATTTTGTTCTGATAAATATTTTTACTTGGAAGTACTAGTGTAATTTAAAAACATCATTGCCCAGGCAGCGCTGAGTGCAGCTTTTCCCATGGCTATTATTGCATTGACCTCCATAGTTATTCATACTCCTGATGAAAACATAACAGGTTTTGTGATTGCATGAGCTTTTAAAAAAAACTAAAAAAAGTATGCTGTAAACATAGCAAACTAATATTTAAATTTAAGTCAAGAAAGCAAAAGGGTTGCATTTATTCACACTGCTGAAGTCAGTATTTTGTAAATCCTTCCCTGGCAGGGCTTACACT